ACATACTGTACATTATTGTTTCTCCTCTATGCCCGCCTTTCTGAAAAGCATAGATTTTTACAAAGCTCATCATTCTAAAAAAGCGAGGTGTGCACTGATTGGCCAGCTATCCAGTGTGTTGTTTCATAACAAAACACAGCGTCACACACGGCGGCCTAGAGTGAGCAGAAGCCGGGGATAAGTGAGGAACGGCCCGGAGGGCTAGAGTGAGCAGAGGCGGCGGGCTTGAGAACGGCGCGGCCGGCTCATTCGACGAAGGAGCGTCCGGAGGGCTTGCGGCAACCACATGTGATGACCCCGGGCTGGACTCCGCTTCATCTACGGTGAAAGCTGATCCGGTGATCCACAGCGCAAAGTTGTTATATTTCTTCAGCAACCAGCACGGATCAGCTCCAGGCATGACTAGATACAGATATCGTCCTCTTTTGGAAGGCCAAACTAAGTAGTTTCGCTTTCACAACGAATCACACAGTGCCTTCAGGACATGGCGGCGGCAACAACAATACTACAGTGAGAATAAAAGTTACACCTTCTTTCTTTGCGTGAACATTTGGGCGGCATTATGCAAATCTTCCCACATAGTGAGGTAGATATGTGGGGGTGTGTTAGAACAAGCCATTTTAGGTAGGCGTGGCTGACTCTTAACTTTTATAAAGAATATCTCTTTGGATTTGAGACTTTAGTCTTTGCAACTTTACAGATCTTCTTTATGCACCAAGCGCTTGTAACACTCCAAAGAGAAAGGAAAAATCGCATCATATGACCCCTTTAAAATATTCTAGCTTAGTATAATAAAAAAATATGACCAGCATCATATTGTCTATTTACATTTGTCCCCCACAACTGTTGTTTTTACTAAAGAACATACAGTTCTTGAAACTGCTGAAAATAATCACAGTTAATTATTTTAATCACTCCTAGGTTTTTTTGACTAACCCTAACAGATCATTACAGGAGAGGAAACCCATGGAAATATCTGAGCCCTGCGATTGTTGTCTTTGACAACAGAGCACCTTGAAGTGACAAAGGTCTAAAACATAATTTCAAAGTATGCGCTCATGTTTGTTTATGCGTTATTCGCCATCGAAAGACCGCTGTGTAATTCAGTCATACAGAGTAATTGTGAACGTAAAATGAAAGTCCACAGACGGTGTTGCGCTGGAGTGGAATACGGTTATCAGAATCCCTCACTCACTCTCTCTCTTGCGCGCCCGCGGCTCTCAGAGGAAGTGCTGCTTGTGCTGAAGGAACGGCTGGGAGCGCAACACACAAGGACTCAGCGCGAGCGCGAGCGAGGACAGCACGCGCAAAGAGGTGCACCTGTAATCCACGCTGCTCACTCGCTGATGTGCGGATAGAGTGAGAGCATCCAGAAGAGATATTCTACACCACGCGCATACCCATGCTTGGGATTTGGCTTTCTTTTTCTTCGCTAATGCAAAAGGAAATATGCAGCGAAGCCTCACACTGCTCTGCACCAGTTTTCTGGGATTGTGCCTCGGTTCCAGTTTCCCAAGTAATATCAACATAGGTGAGTGAATGACAAAAGTGAAGGATGGAGTGTAGAGTGATGCGTTTTGAATAAAAAAATAGGAAAAGAGTCATAATTATGGACTTAGTCATTTCACTTGTGTTACCAGAAACCTGCCTAGGTTGTTTTAATGTATTGTGGGATTTTTCTTCCCCCACAGGAGGGTTATTCCCAACCGAATCACACGAATATGAAGTGTTTCGGTTTGCGCTCTCGCATCACCAGGATATCCCTAAACTGGTACCTCAAGTGGATATGGTCAAAATGGGGAATAGCTTCTCCATGACATATGCTTGTGAGTACAACCTGTTTTTACAGTGTAGAGATAAATGTGTGTGGTGAATGTCAACGCACTGCAGCTGCTGTTCGCGTCTATCTGTTGCTCAGAATGATCAAATGAAGAAGTCTGGATGGGAAAGTTTTTTCTTCCTGTTGCGCGTGCCTCGCGGAGATAAAAATCGATCTTATTTGTATTAAAGACTAATATATTTGACATCAAATGTGGCGTTTTTTGAACGTATTAGTGATATGTGGTTCACAAGTGCAGAAAGTGCGGGGTTCAGACGCATAAATGCGTGTTACGCTGAATGCGCTTTACGCCTGGAATACGTCGTTGGCCAGTAACCTAATTATCAAGTTAAACACGTTTTTGCACGACATTTTTTCTTAATTTCGTTTCACTACCGTGCGTGCAATTAATCTCAATTATGCGTCATAATGGACGCGCACGCTTCGTTGCTGATACATCACGAAGCCGTTCTATTGTGTTCATAATGCTGATCATTTGAATTAATAACGGTTTTTGTGTAACATTTTGGGGGATGTCGGTCAGTTATTTTGAATCACAGGTCATTTTATGATTTAGTAGCTTGTAAGATATTTTTGTTTCTACTCTCAAAGCGCGCAACGTGTGGCAGTACACGTTTTTGCACGACATTTTTTCTTAATTTCGTTTCACTACCGTGCGTGCAATTAATCTCAATTATGCGTCATAATGGACGCGCACGCTTCGTTGCTGATACATCACGAAGCCGTTCTATTGTGTTCATAATGCTGATCATTTGAATTAATAACGGTTTTTGTGTAACGTTTTGGGGGATGTCGGTCAGTTATTTTGAATCACAGGTCATTTTATGATTTAGTAGCTTGTAAGATATTTTTGTTTCTACTCTCAAAGCGCGCAACGTGTGGCAGCTTCCTTTGTACAGAACACAGGATCAAAGCGCAGTGGAAGAAAACAAGCGTTAATAGCCAATGAATTGATTAATCAATGACTTTCAAGCTCTTTAGGCTCATGTAGATGTCTAACAGCAACAATATAGTGAGGTTACAGACAGAGGATGTGAAGTCTTTTTTTTTTATTCTCCGTGTCATTGATTTCCAACAAGGGGTATTGGGAAAATTTTGATTTTTGCTTTGCTAAAGATATAAAACAGAATTTGGACTTTTATTCATAAATAAATTCACTGTTAGGTCTTTTTTTTCATATTTGCATCTAGAAATGCTTCCAGTATCGTTTCCAATACTTCTGTTATTGATTATATTATTAATTAATGTAATAGCGGCCGCTTCAAATAATGATAATGCTGAATGGCCCATTATAATATAATTTAAGACGAACACATTTCTTGTTTAGTGATGGGGGGATTCTTGAGCCTTACTCATGGGAGAGAAAAAAGGTTGGGAAACACTGCTCTATCTTTATCTTTCTAGACTTTTTCTCAGTTTCTTTTTCTCACATAAGCATCAAAGAATGTGGAAAGAGAATATATTTTTTTTTTTTTCAAAATATGACGCAAACTAGACACTTGAGTATGAAAATCAGTGTGAAGATGTCTTTCAGTTCTGTAGCATGTTTTAAATATTCTTTGTTCTGTAATACTACTGAGAGCACATCAAAGAAATGCACTTTAAATCTATGAATTAGTCTCCCCCAAGCTACCAATATTTCTTTTCTTGATGTGAATTTTGAGCTATGCATAAACCCTCCCACCTCATCCTCCTTTCATGCGTTCAATGTGTGTCAAGTCAGACCAATCATCCATCAGCACTTTAAGCTTCTCTCTAGTCTTGAGGAAAACCAATCAGATGAAATGAAAACAATTGCGAAATGGCCTTATTAAATATATAAGGATGCAGTTCCAAATACTAATGCGGAAGTTTCCCAACAGTTTAATTATACTCCACTCACGGATTCTTTCAGAGCTGGAGGTGTGCTGTGGGATTTTTAATAGCATGAAGAGACAAATCAGTCCCTCTATGAATTTCATGGTGTTCTCTCAGGTGGAAAATGCAACATGCTCATTAGTCAATGATGTTCTTGCACTTTTTTCCTCACTCTCTTCTAGATAAGGAATGTGTTATTCACTGACCCATTATGAAGCTCGGTCATATTTAAACGCGCCAGCAGTTTGTCCAGGATAATCAAGTAATAATGTCTCTTGTATAATAATAAGGTCTCTTGTATCACTCTGTGCTCCCGTCCTGATCTGTTGCGTAGTGAATGGGCAGCCCTTGCGCAGCGAGCTGTGAGAGGAGTGTTGTGAAGGCCCAGACTCTGTGTAATGCTGAATGGCCTCTTGTGCCAGGAACTGAATGTGTGTCCGGAGACGCCTGAGGAAACTTACTCTCAGCTGCTCCCCCTCTGTGTGGGCTCAATCCTTAGAGCAACCATCCCCGTCAGCACCTGCCGGGCCGTACCAGAGGGGGTTGAGTACACAGAAAAAAGAGGGCAGGATTGTTCTGGGGCAGAGGTTGATTAAATAAGAAGTGCTGTGGCACCTAGGAAAGCACATTTTTATTGATAATTGGAAAACGTAATAAGAGGGCACTGAATCCTTATGTTCTGTTTGGGGCCTCTAAGACTTCAAGGCCTTAATAGCTAATGTTAATTTGTTACACTTTACAATAAGGTTTAGTTCATTATCATTGATTAACTACCAATGTAAGTAAGTACAGTAAACAATACTAATACATTTTTTTAATTTTTACATTTGTTATGCACTTTGAACTAACATGAACACGAATGTTTGTATTAAGTAACAGTAACAGGTTAAAAATGCTGTAAAATAAATTGCTTATATAGTTAGTTAATGTTAGTAAAAGGAAGAGTTCGCTCAAAAATTAAAATTCTGTCATCACTTGTTCACCCTCATGTCGTTCCAAACCTGAATTTATTTCTTCCATTAAGTACACAAGATGTTTGAAGGGATGGTCATCAGCATTCTTTAAAATATCTAATGAGAAGTATATAATAATATACTTAATATACGTAATTATATAATAATAACAAGCTCATTCTCCCTTTAATGTGTTATGTTACTAATATTTAGGGTCTTAGAGACCCTTGGTATAAAGCATTAATAAATGCAGTTAATTTAATTGTATTGTGTTGATATTTAGTGTGTTTTAGTTACATTTATGAAAAGTGCACATTTATGGTAACTCTTATTACTTTAAGCTGAAGTAAATTTAGATATCCTCTATGTAGAGAGTAATATTAATCAGATGTCTGATGGTAAACAAATAATTAAAATAGGTGATTCATAAACCAGTGTTTTTTTCATTCACTCTCTCACCTTCCAGGTATAGACATGTATTAGCTTTCAATTTCAGAAGAATGCGTCTGTATAAAGGTGGAATGCAATTTATTCAATGACCCCCAGCCGTCTCGCTGACATTTGAAGTCCTCACAGCTAATGCTAGATTCCTTTACTTGATCCGTGAGCAGAATTAGAGCTGATCAATAGCCGGACCCCATGCAAAGACTCCACAATCAATACCAGATGTTCACCTATTCCTGCATGCAAAGACTCAAGAGCCCACTTAAAGATCTATGGGAGAGTGTGCATTCATAGACTTCCAAGTTAGAAAACCTTCAGGCCAGAAGAATATTAGCATGCTTCAAGACAAAGAACTGAATCGAGCGTATTTACTGCTGCTATAATTTGATCTGCACTGAGTGAAGCCTCATAATATAATGCTCTAAATGAAACATCAGTTTTTTTCCTGCTCTGCTACTGTTGAAGAGTAGTATGTGCGTGTGTTTCCCTTTATTAGGTGTTTCACAATATGTAGTTTACACCTTCGCATCTGATGTGATTGCTCTTGGGAGACGGCTGTAAACATGCATCAGAGTATCTCAGAAAGCAGCAGCGGTTTCTATCATAAGCCTGAAATGTCTTTCAGTGTTTCGCACTGAGAAGAAAATAATAACTCTCTGCAGCGAATCTAGAAATGCGTACAGGCAGCACGGTAGTGGATTTCTAGGATTGTGTCTGTTGGGGGAGTTCGCTCCGGGGTGTTGTGTTATTGTGTAACAGGAGACCGGAAAGGGGGAAGGGATCGCCCTCAGTCCCCACATCTCCTGGAGCAACAAGACCTAAAAATCCTGAATGAATAAATTATCTGGATGGGATTCCCTAAAGCAAGACATTCAATTAAAACACCAAGAGGTTCAGTGCCTAAATTTCCTTTGCAGAAAAGGTCTGAACAATCTAAAAATCACAAAATAAACATTATGAATTCTGATTGGATGAGCCACACTCGAAGCTGCTGCACACCTGTGACCGCACATCAGTAGAATTCTGTATTACAGGTTGTGCTGTTGCTTGGCAACCGTAAAACAACCTACAGTTAGTCACTAAATCACTCACACATTTCACACACTAAATCACAGCTGACACATTTCTTCAGTCGCATGGCACTGAAATTGTATAAGCGCACCTTATCAGCTACTATGTTGCCTATATGCATTATGTATCTTAGTCCCATATGGAGAAAAATGTGATTACAATTTTTTGCGTATTTTTGAATGATATTAAGGCTTTCATTTATCAAGCATGCATTAAAATGACAGTAAAGACATTTATAATGTTAAAAAGATTTCTATTCCAAATAAATGTTGTACTTTTGAGCTTTCTGTTCATCAACGAATCTTGAAAAAAACATTTCAACATTGGTAATAATAAGAAAAGTTTCTTGAGCAGCAAATCAGCATATTAGAATGATTTATGAAAGGTTAATGTGACACTGAAGACTAGTGTAAACGCTGCTGAAAATTAATCTTTACATCACAGAAATAAATTACATTTAGAAAACAGTGATTTTAAACTGTCATAATACTTCACAAATATTAATAATATTGTTTACTGTGTTAAATACATGCAGCCACATACATACATACATACTTGGTGAGCATAAGGGAACTCTTTGAGAAACTTAATGAAATCTTACCAACCTCAAACTTTTGAACACTCATATTTATAGATTTGTCAGAAATGATTTGTGATTTAG